TGAGGCAGGGGGAGCATGTGACAAAATTGCCAACCTGCCCTCAGAAATTTAATCCAGACACAGCAACACACTGTGCTGGTTCTTGACCTTTTCTCAACCGTCGCTGTTCAGCAGGCAAAGGGTCAAGGGGCATGATCTGCAAAGGTTGCACATGCAAGTTGCTCAACACTTTATATCTATTTTATTTTCTCACTCTGATAGATTACGTGACAGCACAAGTCACACGAAGAGACTTGCGCTTAGAAACATCAAAATAATAATAATAATAACACTGTTAAAAATAAGAAGGTGATGAAGGTGACGTGGTCTGTGCGCTTAGTTTCAGATGGTGGTGGCTGTGGAACAATTAATCATCAGTGAGCATCGCTATTTAAGGAAGTCCACTTCCTGACAATGTGCAGCTGTAACAAAGAGATAATTCTTCTTCTTCTTCCAAGTAGTTGAGCAAAATATGTTTCCAGTCAACTAATTATTTTTCCTTTACGTGTTTCCTTAAACTTTAAAATATCACTTGCACCCTACATCATAAACTTTCACACTCACAGCAGGTATGTGCACGGAGCATCTACACTATTTTGCAGTCATATATGAACTTCTACTGACAGATAAAGAAGAACTGGATGGCAGTTCTCTTTTATTTGGTCGAGCACTAAATTGCACACACATAAATATCAAGTTTCCTGAACATACCTCATTTTTCATCATCAAGAAAATGACTCTGAGAAAATGCTGTATCTCGCCCCCTGATCCATATCCACACCAGAATTTAATGGATTCTTTCTTGACCTCTAGTTCAACCTCCGACCGGAGTTTGATGGTGATCCATCGAGCAGTTTTTGAATAATCCTAACAGACAAATAAACAAACTCTTTCTGAGGTAATAAAGTCAACAGATATTGACTCTACTGCTTTTCTACCTGCTCATAGTGCTGACCTCTTTCTCTCATATGGGCTGGATGAGACAGAGGGAGTTGAGGAAAAGGAGATATGGAGCTTTTGTGGTTTTGTCTTGTCTTAACAATGGTTTGGTGCCAACAAGAGCTGACGTTAAGGTTTTATTTTTCGGGTGTCTTTTTAAAACATGTTCTTGAAGTACTCTTGAAGTTCCTGCAAGTGATGACATTGTCATCATAGCCTCCATTAAACAGCTAGGGTTAGTATTGTGACCACACCTACGTATGACTTCCTCTAACCTCAAGTTTTGAGCAGTCCTCTCATGATTTCTGCATTTTCCTTTCAACATCACACTCCAGTGCAGAGGTTGAAATAGTCACCTCTCAAACGTCCACATACATTCATGTGAGCAACACATCGCACTTGATGCATTTTTCTGACAGAATAACACAATGGCCTGGATATTAGCTGCGACAGTATTCATGTCAGGTAAGAAAACTTTCTCTTGTTATCTACTTTATTTGATGACATTTTATTACATTGGCAACATTTTCAGCTGTAAGTTCCTGCAGAAAAGTTATTATTTGCCTTAATTTAAAAAACCACCAGAGCTAAAGGATGAATAACAATAATAACAACATTTAGAAAATATAGACCACACCCCAGACAGACCCCAGTCTCCATATTTATCCCATTTCAAATCCACATACTATAAGAAAGGTCATTAAAGACTAATGGACCACATTGTTTGGACCATTTAGATTCATTGTGTTTGTTTAACACCATCTATCACTAAAATGACCTTAAATAAAAGCAGAATACATATTTCCTACTCTGTTCTAAACCTTCATTTATGTGCTACATACATAGATTAGGTCAGCAGGAGTCACAATAATCACAGGAACACTTGAAGAGGCTAAATTATCATCAACCCAGCTCCAGTCATTATGAATATCTGCCTGAGAGGAGACAGGAGACATTGCTCAACCCTGACTCCTGAATCTTTAGAGGCAGTTATCCTCAATTAAAATGGTGTTTTATATTTAAACTGACCACAAAAGAAGCCGGCTGCAAAACAGCCATTAAAGCTATAGCTTCAATCCATTCTAGACTGTTAGAAGAAAAGAAAAGCAAAACCAAGCAGCACTGGTGAAAAGAAAAAGCAGAACTTCTTTTATGCTGCTATTTATGGAACTACATAATGTTCAAAATGTACAAGATAACATGAGGTTCAACGTTATCTGTTCTCCTGCTGTTCAACATGAGAAAATCATTTGTCAGATGATTGAAGAGTTTGTATCATGTTGACCATTTGGAGAATCCAAAAAAGGAAAAAAAGAAGGCAGACTTCATTTGCGCAACAAAAATCTCTCAAAGTACAAAAATAGCCTGTATAGGAGGAAGTTCTGCTTGTTTCCATGTGAAGTACAACACGATCAGTATTTGGACTTAAAAAGAGTTTCTGCTTTAACATATTGACTCATAGCAGAAGCTGTCTTATGGATGTTTTTAAATAAATTATTGCTTAAAGTCACACATGAACAGTACAAAATATGACAAATGTTGACAATCTTCACTGCAGATCAACCAGGTAGGATGAACACATAGTTTTCTAACTTCACTTTGCAGCGTAGAAAGTTTGTAAAAACGTCTGCACACACAGCCAGCACACAAAAGAAAAAAGTGTAAGTATTGCGAAGGGCCTGTTTCCACATTTTATAACTCCAAGTATATCTGTCTGTCTGGCAATACACTAGTGAGTCTAGAATTGGAAATGCTCTCTCTTTGGTGCTCCCTAGTGGTGTTATCAAAACAGACAATGTGGCAACCCTCAGTTCACACCAATGTAAACCAAAAATAAACTGAAAGCCACGGATGGAGATCTCTAGAACTTTTAAAGTTGTTGTAACACTTCATTAAATAAGATTCTGCTCTTATCATTCCTGGTTTCTCAGCGTCGAATGCAGCTCTATGTTTCAATATCGACCCCGTGGCTTGGAGGTTCTGGAGTCACAGTGCCGCAGGGTTTGGCTACCAGGTGGTGCAAAGACGTTCAGAGTAAGTCAGTCGCACGTCTCACAGCTGCAGTAATATATGGCATTTCTTGATAGAAGAAAACAGCTGCACAGCGCTGACTCTGGGTTTTGTTTCCTCAGCTTGCTTGTCAGCGCTCCCCTTGCACAGTATTCAACATTTGAAAGGGGGCAAATACTCAAGTGCTCTGCTACATCCTGTAAAATCATGACGGTTAGAGGTAGGTGGCTGTTAACATCTCAAGAGAAATTCCTGAAACAGGTATTTTCGTCTGTATCATATGGGCATCATAATAAATCAATGTTCAATGTTTTCTATTCAGTGCCAGAATTTGCAGTGAACATGTCCCTCGGTTTGACAATGACAAATGACCCCATCTCGCAAAACACTATGGTGAGTTGTTTAACTTCACCGATTTCCAGAACAAAGATAAAATCGATATAGATTAAAAAATACAATTCAACATTTGATTTATTCACTTCTTATCACTTTCTTATCGCTCGCAGCTTGAAAACTATTGTTTTAAGTAGCGACTAAACAATCAACAACAGTCTGCTAATTCAATCAGGATTATATGATCTCGTCTCTTTTCAGGCATGTGGCCCAACCATCCCAACAGATTGCAAAAGTATCACCATGTACAGCGGCGCATGCTTCCAGATAGACCAGTGGGATCAGTTTGGATCCCCGATGCCTTCGTCTCCTCCAGGTGAGTTTATGAAAAGTACCATGATACAGGTAACGGTGTAGACTGTAGATCTTTCAAGCATCTGTACTTTAGTTTTTTTGTGATGACTTTTACATTTTAACACAATTATCTGTACTTTCTACTGTTTTAATGCATTTGAGGGGAATCTGTATTTTCAAAGCGCTTTCCAGTAAAGTTTATGCACAGATATTCATACAGTGCATCTATGGGCAGGACTTTGTGGGTTTCAGTATAATTATCTTGTGCAAGGACACTTTGGCATGCAGGAAAGACTGGGATGGAACTGCCGACCTTCTGGATACCTTCAGATTTCAACCTGAATAGACAATAACACAGAAAAGATGATTCATTGTTGTATATCTGTCAGTGCATATAATGCACGACATACATAAACACAGATGTATCAAGACAAGACAGACAAGAGAGGGAGTCTCAACCGCTGAGAGGAGGCACGACAAATATGGCAGAGAGGAGGACTGACAACAGCACGTCCATGACGAAGCAGAACAAAAACACATTTCCCATCCGTACCGTTATTCAAATGAAGAATACTTCATTCAATACATTGTAAACATTTCATCCTGAACATTTATTCATGCTCACAAATATTTTCTTGCTTTTTATTAGATTGTTTTTTGATCTTATTTGAAGTGAGAGCAGTTTAGGACAAATAGTCTCAGTTTGAAATGACTTTCAGAGGGCGGGACTAGATGGCTGCAGTGCAGGTCATAAACCCTGTCTCCTCCATGTTAGGAGACAGGACAAAGATGAACTAAAAAGTCAAAGTACACATCAAATAGATTCTTGTCAAAGTTGTGCAATGTGGAATTTAACAAACGATTCAGATTCTGTCCTGTGTCTTTGACAGAGTGCAGAGCTGAGGCAGATATTGCTTTTCTCTTGGATGGTTCAGGCAGCGTAAATCTGGCAGATTTTGGAAGAATGAAGAATTTTGTGAAAAAGCTTGTACGTCCATTTGTGGGAAAACCTACACAGGTAACGGATCATGTTCCCACTGCCACACATTCACTGGAATTTCTACAATTTGTCACTGCCTCTATGACTGTAAGATATTATTGTTCTCCTGTCTTTGCAGTTTGCTGTCGTCCAGTTCTCCACTAATCCCATTTTCCACATGAGCTTTCGTGACTTTTTCTCATTCGGACAATGGGAGTCGAACATTGATGGAATAAGACAAATAGGGGAAGGAACTAACACAGCTCAGGCCATCCAATTTGTGGTGTAGGTGCAGATGTGATGCTGATGTGATAATGTATATGAAATGGTGGTTTCTTTTTTTTTTCATTTTTCAGTTAACACTTTGTTGAGGGTGTAGTGTGTGGTGTTGTGTTTGTAGTTTGTCTCCCGTGCAGTGGACGAGACAAAACCCAAATTAAGCTAGACATAAAAACAAGGCTGGACATTATGACTAAAAGTTAAATCAAAATTTTCAGTCAGTATCGATAATTATCATAATAAATGTCACATCATAATTAAAGAGTGAAGATAGTTTTTTGCTCCGTGAGCAGGGAATAACAAACACTTGATAAACAAGAAAACATTTAACAACTTATGTGTTATACCTCCTCACTTTGCACAATATATATCGACTGAACATTTGTTATATTGCTAATGATGGAAATTATATTGCAATAATTATTGACATTGTTTAATTTAGATATAGATAATAATAATAATATATCTATATTCTTGGATAACCGGCAGAGCTAAATGTGGAAAATGAAGTTCCTGACATAATGCACATATTCTAAAACACAAATAAAATGCAGGTTTCCAGTGAGGAAATTGTTATGTCATGTTATTGACCAAAAAACATGACAAAAGTGTATTGAAATGATATTGTTGTTGTTTTGGCAGCCAAAATGTTTTCACATCAGAAGGAGGTTCCAGACCGAACGTGAAGAAGATCCTGATCGTCGTTACTGATGGAGAATCTACTGACAGTACTAGCTTACCATATTCAATACAGTTAGCTGAGAACAATAAGATTATTCGATTTGCTATTGGGGTAAGTTAAGATCATTCCATTGTGCAAAATTTGTTTTCCAAAAAAGGCATTGTTTGTGTTTTTATCATACATTCAGACATACAGTACATGATGCTTCATCATTATGAAGTTAACAACAGTCTTTCCTCAGTGGCTGTCACTGTGGTGTGGGGATGGGTGCGGGTGGATAAACTGTCTTAAAAGTAAAAAAATCAACTCTGTTTGTCTCAATATGTCTCTAGGTGGGGCGAGCGTTCTCTTCCCAAAACGCAAAAAAGGAACTGAACTACATTGCATCAGCTCCCTCGACAAATCACGTGTTTCGTGTAGAGAGCTTTAATGCACTTGATGCAATCACAAAAAATTTGCAGGAGAAAATCTTCTCTATTGAAGGTATAGAAGAAAACTTACAGCTTAAAATCACATTTACATTCTCAGCATTGACATTGTTTATTGGGCTCATTTCATGCTGCACATCCAGTTCTTACGTTATGTTTCCAAACAAACTTGTTTTAACAAGCCTGCTACTGTTAATTCATTCAACAACAGTGTGTATGTAACAGTGGGATTCAGCTCATTTCTTTTGCTGTTTCAGGATCTCAGTCCACTGGAGAGACACTGAAAATGGAAATGGCTCAGACGGGATTCAGTGTGGCTTATGTGCCAGGGGTAATAATGATCCCAGAGACCGAAACCACCCTTTGTGATAGAAAAGCTACACACAGGCAACATATTTTGACTCTGTAATGCATTTAACTTTTGCTTTTGTATCGTGGTCGTGGTTCTATGGTATAGGGAATTAATATGGGCAGTGTTGGCGCCAACCAGTGGAAAGGAGGCTACATGAAATACACATTATCAGGCGAGAAGCTGAGTTCATATGAGCCTTTGTATAAGGATCAAGACAGTTATCTGGGTAAGAGTATTACAGTAATAACAAACTAATACACATGTGATTAGAACCTCCCTCCCACGCTAACGACACGAAATGAGCAAAGACAAATAAACAAACAAATGAAGAACAAGAAGTCAGAAAGTACTGTAAACATGCATGTGAGTAAAATACTTTCACATGTCATACATGAAGCTCCACAAATCACCAAAGGGACCCTTCACAGAAAAGAAAAACACTACTAAAGTTAAAACTTTTTTTGTAAACTGTACCTAAACCATTGGATGCTTTAATTTATTTGCTTTGACTCTTGAATTCCAGGTTACTCCATGACTATCGCTAGAACCAAACAAGGCCCACTGACAATTGTTGGCGCTCCTAGATATAAACACAGAGGACTTGTGATGGCAGTTCAGGAACAGATGCAGCAGAAGATTGATCCGTTTCCCTGGCAGGTGTGTGTTTACTGATCGGATCTATAGACGATCTGTGTGTGTACATACATCTCAAATAAAAAGTCTTCTTCTTGTTTCTTAAACAGTTTCAGACGGGTGAATATTTTGGGGCAGAGGTTCGTGCCATGGATGTAAACGGTGACGGATACACTGACCTAATCCTCATATCTGCACCTATGTACAAGGAAGCTAATAGAGAGGGAAGAGTTTACGTTTGCACTTTATCTCATTTGGTAAGTGACCATTTCTTCTATTGCCATTAAAGGATGTATTTGTCTTAACCCCCAGGCAAATGTTGACTCTCCTTTGTGTATATTGACCAGAGTGTGGAGTGTCACTTGGATTCTCCGTTAGTGCTGAGAGGGGATGAGTCCGACCAGGCGAGGTTTGGCTCTTCTCTTGCTGTGGTGCCTGATCTCAACACAGATGGACTCAGGGAGGTGGCAGTTGGAGCCCCTCTGGAGAATGGTGGTCAAGGCAGCATCTACATATTCCACGGCGAAGGAGGAAGCAGAATCAGTCCAACTTACTCACAGGTTCGTAGCTTAGAGAACAAGCAAAAAAACTTGTGGTTGGGGTCAACAGCTGAAAAAGGCTCCTCACCTGCAGGTGGCGCTTTGAAGGTTTGGGAGCAGGGGCTGGGCCATATTAGCATTCATATATCCCAGTCACGAAATGAGGGACGAAGGTGTAGAGTTAAGTTGTTTCAAGGCCGTGAGGGGAACTTTCATGTCAAATCTATTGAATATGTTATAATGACGAACAAAGAAGAGTTTAAGGGGAATTAAGTGGGACTTTAACAAATTCATTGTGTGAGGCCTAATTCTTTTCAATAGATTTAAATCGTATTATTCTTATCTTCAATTCCACAGAAAATTGCTGCCGCTGAAGTCCAGCCAAGACTCAGATTCTTCGGTATGTCGATCAGTGAGTCGTCTTTTGACCACAGTGGTGACAGTCTGCCTGATTTAGCGGTGGGGTCAAAGGGCACAGTTGTCTTACTCAGGTTTGTGGAAGATACAACTGTTTTCATTTTACTATGTTTGAAAAAAGAAGGTGGTCCTCATTTATTTTTCTGCTCTGTCCAAACAGGTCAAAGCCTGTAGTAATGGTAGTTGCTACGATGTCATTCAACCCAAACCAGGTCCCTACAAAAAACATAATCTGCATGAACCCACTGGAGAACACAGCTACCATCTGCTTTACCATGACCATACTTTCTACACTTCCCACAGGTAACTCATTCCTCTCGCTTTTCTTGAACCACAGAGCCACTGTCCATCTGTTCAAATACATGTGTGTACATAAGTAACATAGATTCAACTGTCAATCATTCCAGCTCGAGCAAAGATCAATTATACTTTAACACTGGATGCCACCCGCAAGGTCCCCAACAACAGAGCTTACATCAGTGACAAACAACGAGAGAAGACCGGGTCAATTGATGTTGACTCACGAAGGCAAAAATGCGTGAATGTGAAATTCTTTATTGAGGTGAGTTGTTAACATTAGAACATATCACAACCCAAAGAGCTTCAGCCTTGAAAACAAACCAAAAAAAATCACTGATTTCAAACTAACCGTCACAACCTCATTTCATAACTGTGCGCTCCTCTCGCAGGCTTGTCCAGAAGATACTTTCAATGAACTTAGAAATGAGCTCAGATTCACCTTTGACGGTATTCCCTCTGCTACAAACCTCAAACCAAGTCTCGCCCAACATGCTAAAACTACAGCTTTTCATTCTGTAAGTGACTTTAAAACACACACTTGTATTAAATACACAGGAATCATTGTTATATCATTAATTTCAAGCGTAGACAGAATTAATCTTTTTTTTCCTTTTTTTTTAAAAAACAAAAACATATTTTTCTTCATGCTCTCTTCCACAGCTGGGGTTTGAGATCAACTGTGGCATTGACAACAAATGTGTAGATAACCTGAAAGTGGATTTCAAATTCAACAGGTGAGAACCAAAAGTGAAGCCCAACATGAGGGTGTGAGCACGGTTACATTTCCCCTCTCCACAAGTACGTGTCTGCCATAGTAGACTCAACATCTAGCTGAGGGCATCGCTATAAAGGGCAGCCTCACCGAGCTGCAAGCTCAAAAGGAGACTATTAGATTATTATTTTTCTCTACCTTCACCTTCCCTTTTCTCTCTCAGCTCCTCAGAGTTGAAGGTGGGCATTGATGAACTGTTGGACGTCATGGTAACAGTGGAGAACAGAGAAGAAGACTCCTACAACAGCTATGTGACACTCACGTACCCAGTCGGGCTCTCCTACAGGAAGTTCACAGGTTTGCAGGTAAGTGCTCATTAATGCTGCCTTCACGAATCAAAAGAGATACGTCCCTTTAAATCGATTTAACAGTCCCTGCCACTTCCATGAGTCCTCTACATTGGTATGGTTGTTGAGCTATGCATCCACTGGAAGGCAGCAGAGAGTCGAGAGTTACTACAAACAGGCCTAGAACCAACTCCACCATTGCTGAAATGTCTTCCTCTTGTACGTCTCCCTTAGACAATTGGCTACACTGCCCCCTATGATTACCGGTGGAACTGCTCTATTTTGTCTGTTTTATTAATATCCAGAAGAAAAACAAAATGAAGATGAAAGGGATGCCGAGTAGAGATAGAAGTCGCCATCTTCCGTATATGCATCAAACGTTGAGCAAAAATGATTATCAGCATCTGGTCTGTTTTCATGGATTTCTTGACCACGTGTCTTGATAAACAACAAAACATCTTTACTGCGCAGACTGGCTGCTTTCCAAATTCTGCAAAAATCGCAAGACACATCGCGCATTTTTAGATACAGTCTGTGGCTCATACAGCAATTCAGCTTGAAATGTGCTGTTGTTTCATCAACTGCTTTTAATGAAGGGAAGAATCGAGTGCAACTCCTTGGACAGTGAAGATGGCTTAACGCTTGGAATGACAATCTGCACCATTAACAAACCCATTTTCAAGAGCAACAGTGAGGTTTGTGTTTTTTGTAAACAGTCATCTTTTTTTATTGCTGCAGCAAAACACAGAGACAGTCTGACCTCTCTTTCATTACAGGCTTTGTTCACCGTCTCCTATGGGATCGAAAGCAACAGACAATTTGAGAGGCAGATTTTTATCTCCGCAAATGCTACCAGGTACTGTGCTTGTCTATAAGCATGCGACGTGCAAGTGTGCATGTGTTTACATCATAAATAAATCATTCGCAAAGTTAATTTTACTTCTCTCTTTTAGTGGGAATCAGGAACACGCCCGTTCCAGTAAACTCTACCAAATAAAATGGATGGATGTGAAGTACAGCATTTTTGTCACGATTGAAAGGTTTGATTTTATTTTTTTGTGTTAGACAAAGGAATCACATTAAATAATAATAATTGAAAGTGTGCATTGTATTACCTAATACTGAAATATATGTTTCAGTTCCCACAGCTACAACAATTTCACTTTTGGAAAGAACAATGTGCAGAAACCTTTCCAGCAGTCAGTTGTGGTAAAATATCTCCTTACATGATCATATTACATTGGATCATATTAGATCACAACAAATTACACACACTGAACAATATCAGCCCCCTGAACATGCCTGATTGTTTTTTTCAAGATCTATGAAAATCTTGCAATGTTGAAGATAAAAGACATTTGTGTATCTATTTGATGAATCCTTCCCTGACCGATGATGCATCCTTTCATCAAGTTTCTTTCTTCTTGAGTAATCTACTAAATATCAAACAAACCCTGATAAAAACATAACCATCTTGGCTGAGGTTAAAAATGTGTTCATCACCTTGATTCCGATGCTTGCTCTGCCTCTTCAGTACCATCCTTTCTTTTTCTCCCCTTCTGACAGGTTACAAATAACATCAGGGCACTGAATTTCACGGTGGTGATCAAGGTGCCTGTAAAGGTTGATGATAAAGACATCTGGGTGGATTCGAACAGTTTGCAGGTGATGTTACTAGATCCCAGAAAAGTCTCTCGTGTCACTGTTGCAGCCCCAAGAACGGGAGGGATGTGGTCACATGAGAAACACATCTGTTAAACTTACACAAAGCTGTCCCTACTTCTATCTTTTCTAAATCTATTCCAGATTCAGGACTGCGAAAGAGACGCAGACGAAGGACCTACTGTCAAAGACTCTGTTGCTATGATAAAGGAAAATAATGTAGTGGTGAGTATACTATCTACAATGTGTGATTTAAGTACTTACACTGTATTACAGCTTCTGCCGGCTCTTCCTCACCCACAGGACTGCTCTGTAGCCAGATGTGGTGTGTTCAGGTGCAGTAGGTTCATGGGAAGACTGGAGAGTAAAAAGTACAAAATGTCTGCCAACATCAGTTCAGGATGGATAGAGCAGGTAACTGATATGCATGTGTCATATTTTTTTACATGTATTTTGAAGTATTTTACAACTTGTGCTCATTCTAGAGCGGTAAAATTACAGTAACTTACTAAAGAAATTGAATGTCACCAAAGATCATGTCGATCTCTTCACGCACCTTTTCATTTTTCAAACAGATTGGACTCCACTCTGCAAAATTCCTCTTGACCAGCACGGCTACTCTGGAGTATGACACAAACAAGTACATCTTCTTTTCTACGGGTTCTAATAACAGGCCTCCGATTCACAAGGTGATTCCACATTCAATTATTTGACTTGTCTTTTAATAAGCTTGAATTTTAACCACATTCATTTCATTTAACGTCTCAGCTTGAGGCCGAGATAGAAGTGTATCAACAACCAGACTTCACCAAAGAAATCGTCGGGGGATCGCTGGGAGGGTTGGCTCTGCTGGTTTTACTCACTGCTGGCCTGTATAAGGTGAGACACTATATAGAGTATTTACATTATCACTATCCTTTCATTTTTCAACCATGTAGCAGTTATTCTCTTCTTTCCCTTCATGTACGAAGTAGCTTTAATGCAGGATCGCACTATTTTAATGTCACTTTCTTGGTTTTCTTCTCTCAGGCTGGATTTTTCAAGAGTAAATACAAAGATTTGATTAATCAAGCAGAAGAAGCAGGAGAACCAGAGGCTGATGAAGATGCAGCCACACTAGAACAATAAACAATAATTGGAATGACACTCAGTAGAGCACATACCACCGCCAAGCCCCAACAGTCCCCTTACATTCAATCAAGCCGCACCAAATTTCACACACAATTTTTTAAAATCAAGAGCCATGAATTATTCTCACCTACAATGGCACTGTTGTCACTGTTTAGTGTATAGTTTTATATCTTCAGGGCCCAAAATCATGTTCGATTGATAAACTGAGCAGATGAAAAAATGAATTTCCAAATGAATTCAAAAGAGTGATGGAGGAAAGATTCATGGCACAATGTTACATAGGGAGCGATTTCAAACACATGCCCTAAAGATGAAGATGTGTGACAACAGAGAGGCGTCACAAAATTGCCCTAAACAGCTTCTTGTTAATCTACAGCGACCTGTGTTTATATTTCTGCAAACTATCTGTGTTCATTTTATGTTTTCAAGTGAAGGTGATACAAACTTAATACACTTCTGCTGGCTTCTGCTTATCATCAAAACTGCCAAAATAAAATATGCTTAAGAGCAGCTCACTTGTTAAACTTTTAATTGTACTTAATGCAACTTTTATTGACAACCTGAATTGCTTTGTATTCTGAATGAAAGTAAAATACATTTTTTCTATGCTTCATCAATATTTATTTCATGACTCAATATGTCTTTTATAATGTGACTCAAACAAAATAGGCATGGTTTGATGGTTTATCACTGTACTTCATTCAGCTGGATTAACACATCTTGAAAAAATTAGCATTTTCTTGTACAACTTGTTCACAGATTCCATACAGTACAATACCTTCTGTTACGAATATATACATTCGATTGGAAGTGCCTCATGATGCATTCCTTTTTGTTTGACCTGAGTATCGTAAGTGCATTTACAGTATTGGACTATTTCACGCAGCTCTACAAATACCACATCATTACAACAGGAAAATGGAGGTAATAACGACAGCAAAACTGAAGAACAAGGAAATTGCATTTCCAGCTGCATTTCCTGCTGCATTTCCTGCTTCATTTCCTGTTGCAGACGTTGCAGGAGATGGCATATCACCAACTGTCTCCTTTAAGAATGACCCGAATCTTGAGGTTTTGGCAAATGTCTGAATATCTGCCCTCACGGATTTATTCCCACTCATTGTTACAACGGCCGCCTGGAACCAAGAGGAGTCTGATTTGCACAGCAGAGGACTGCCCTGATCCCCCTGTGAAGAAAAAGGGAATTCAACATCAATTAAGTCCTGATCTGAAACCTTTTGCCCTGAGAAGAAGAGAAATTCAATTTCAGAAACTCAGGTAGATGGGAAACTTATAGTTTTTACCTCTTGAAGGTCCATGGCATAAGTGCAAATGTTGTCCGAATCAGAAACGCTCACACAGTTTGCCACTTGAGTTTCAAGGTCTCGCAGACCTGAGCCAGCTCTGCCAGCACCTAAAACAGCACAACAATATAGTTTTTGTGAATTATCAGTCTATGTCTTACACATCATGAAGCCTGACGAATTCCTTTAAAATCAGGCCTTTTTCAGGCCTGGTATTATATCTGTTCTCAGAGGACTGATCACAAGTGCTTTAACATTCATGCTTTGGCTTTTGCATTTGTGTTGTGGGTTTGTAATCCTGTTGTGGCTTTTGCATATGTGTTCACACAGCAAAGATAATTAGGCCACATGCATCCACCCCTGATCACTCAGGATGGATGTTAGCTTGTAGAATCCTCACCTCCAGTCCTACTGCTGTTCCCCCAGCCTGGCATCCAGCATCGACTACCAACGGGGAAGGATCTTTCATTGTTGCTGTCCAGACACACAGGCTGGATAAAATCTATGTAGCTCACAGGTTTCTCCAGCTGTAGTACAGCAATGTTAAAACCTGTGAGTTTGCTCAGTATAATCTTCACAACACCCAGAGACATCTCAAACTCTTCAGAACCGTCCACAAGTCGCTGGCCAAGGAACACTCTCCACTCGAGAACATTTGGACTGGAGCTGTAACGAGTATAAAACCACATCTTTAAAAAGACATGTCCAATTGCAAATACTTGTAAATAATAAAAGCAAATTACGTTTATTCTTACGTGGAAAAGCACTGGCTGGAGGTGAGGACAAACCTATCGGCGATGAGGGTTCCTCCACAAGTGAAGACCCCGTTTTTGTGGAGACTCACCATCCAGGGCCACATTCCTCCAAAAACAACACTGCTGTCACCTAGAGCACGACTGTTCATGGAAGCTTTGCCACACACTGGTCCTTCATTGTAGAATTAAATAAATTAAGAGAAGCAGAATTACAATCAAGATAGGTTAAACAAAATTATTGAGAAGTGTAAAGTTTTGATTTAAAACACAAAGCAGGACACTTACTGGCAGGAGTGGTTACGATACTTGGCCGCGTTGTTGGTGCAGTGGTTGGGGATGGTGGGAGACCAGGACAGGTGTAACTGCTGTCAGCATCCAACCCACTGGAGGTGAACTGGACAAAGCCTGGCCCATCAGAGTCGATTATGGAGTTGATCCAGGACTGGTAACGGGACACTCTGGAGTAGACTCCTGGCAGATTGGGCCGAGCACAACCAAAACCAAAACTGACWACTCCAGACTGGACCCAGACGGAGCCCTGTTTGTTCACCATTGGACCTCCTGAGTCACCCTGAGAACAAAAAGAGGAAACAACTGAGGATGTCACAAAGTCCGTAATGCACTGACCAACAAGTGACAATTGAGAAGCAGCTCACCTGACATGAGTCTTTGCCTCCTGCCAGAACACCAGCACAGATCATGTTGTCCGTGACTTGACCGACTCCATTGAGACAGTTACACTGTCTGTTTCCCAAAACTGGAACCTCCACTTCTTGTAGAGTTTCAGGGAACGGTAATGACACTGAGAGACCAACAGGAAGAGACACAATTCATCCACCTACAGTTTATATAAAAYTRAGACAACACTTTCTGTCAGCAACAAGCAGACTCACCTCCCTCCTTGACYGCRCCCCAGCCAGTGACCCAGCTATCTGTACCGTTGTTGAACACACTGCCACTTGCTGCCAGACACACAGGTCTGATGAAGTCTGTGAATTTGACTGGTGACGAGAGTCTGAGCAGAGCAATGTCGTTGTTGCTGCTGTCGCTGTCATAGTTTGGATGCAAAATGATTCTGGCAACACTTCTGGACACTTCGTTTGGGTTTRTTCCCTGCAGGTTCTGACGGCCGAGAGAAACCTGCCATCTAAATGTACTTGTGCTAGAATAATAAACATATTTGTCAGTATTAAGATTAAAATCACTGCTGAACCACAGACTGGAACACACACAAATGCATCATCTATTATAGACTAGTTACCCACCTGGAGAAGCAGTGAGCAGCAGACATCACCCACTCTCTATTGATGAGGGAACCACCACAAACATGGCCGCCAAACTTCTGCAGACTAACCTGCCAAGGCCAACTTCCAGGTGGAGCATCTTCACCTCCAACTATCCTGGTGTTCAGGGGAGTGATGCCACACACTGCAAACAACAGAGCAAAGAAAGAGAAGCTCAATATAACGTCAGTGACTCATAGAATACATTTACAGAGTTTAATGAAAGTACATGYWACCGACAGAAGTACCAACAAGATACACAGAGTATTAGTTAAGATGATAACTTAAGTACTGCACTGTAGACGTGAGCCTCCATTATCCAGTGTAGCTTCACCAGCTGTTGCTGGAGYAGAGTCATAATAAAATGACCAACTTAGAAAACGRTGGTAGTCAGAGTACTTACATTYAGCACTTGACATGGCAGAGTCTGGACTTGTGGTTTCAGACAGTGCATYRGTGGTTGTAGCTTGTGGTCCTTCAGTACTAGGACCAGTAGCARTAGTGGTAGTAATAACAGGAGGTGGGAGACCAGGACAGGTGTAACTGCTGTCAGCATCCAGCCCACTGGAGGTGAACTGGACAAAGCCTGGCCCATCAGAGCCGATGATGGAGTTGATCCAGGACTGGTAACGGGACACTCTGGAGTAGACTCCTGGCAGATTGGGCCGAGCACAACCAAATCCAAAACTAACTACTCCAGACTGGACCCAGATGGAGCCCTGTTTGTTCACCATTGGACCTCCTGAGTCACCCTGAGAACAAAAAGAGGAAACAACTGAGGATGTCACAAATTCCTAAATGCACTGACCAACAAGTGACAATTGAGAAGCAGCTCACCTGACATGAGTCTTTGCCTCCTGCCAGAACACCAGCACAGATCATGTTGTCTGTGACTTGACCGACTCCATTGAGACAGTTACACTGTCTGTTTCCCAAAACTGGAACCTCCACTTCTTGTAGAGTTTCAGGGAATGGTAATGACACTGAGAGACCAACAGGAAGAGACACAATTCATCCACCTACAGTTTATATAAAACTGAGACAACACTTT